GAGCGCGCTCTCTCTCTCTCTCTCTCTCTCGCTCTCTCTCTCTCTCTCTCTCTCTCTATATGTATTTATATATATATATATATATATATATATATATATATATATATATATATATATATATATATATATATATATATATATATATATATATATATATATATATATATATATATATATATATATATATATCACGTAATATATAATATAACAAAAAGAATGCAATTCATTGATATCTTGACCCAATTAGCGTACTATGATATTAAGAATCATTTTCAAGATCTTATAAGAATTAAAAAAAAAGGATAACGTAAAAGAGAAGATGAACAAATACAGAAAAAAACCAAACCGTCGTCGAGAAACATAGAAGAAGATTTTAGATCATTTACAAAAAAATAAAAAAATAAATAAACCAATAAATAAAAACGACCAAAAGCAAATGACAGAAAAGCCTCTAGGGAAACCAACAAACGGCAATGAATTCTTGCCCCATAACCTGGAGATTCTATCTTAAAAGGGGATTGAATCGGTAAATTAAGCAATTATAAATAAGGTTTTGCAGAAATATGTAGATTTCCGATTTGAAGAAAGAAAACTCAAATTTATGGAAAAAATCATGTCCGATGGAAGTTCAACAATTTTGTTTCGTTCCCAAAATTTGTGTTTCCTCTGTTTTTCCCGGAAGTTTAAACTCTTACTTGAAATTTGGAGCAACGTCGGCAGAGGCTTCCACCGGCAAACAATGAGCGGCTGCTCCACTCCCACCTCCGACGGAATTTGAAATCTTCAATTTTCTGTAAAGATTTCTGTGAACGATGTGTTGATGCAGTTGAGGAGATGTGTATTGTGCAGATAAGTTTTTTTTTTTTTTTTTCTTTTTTTAATGAAACGGTGTTTTTTTAGATCTGGGCATATGAAGAACCGTAAAAACAATTATTACAAAAACAGTCCTTAGGACTATAAGAAATACAGAAAATACCCCTAGGGTTGCCTAGGGTTTCTAACCCTAAAATGTGCCACGTGTCAACATATTAGGCCAAGGATTGTCTTTTTATATATATATAGATGGAAAATAAAAATGTTTTTTTAATGCAACAATTTTTGAACATGCACTCTTTTTTCTAAAATATTTTATTTTAGAAATGGAAAATGGTTTTTATCGGTGCTAATTTTTGTTTGCCTAAAATACTTTGTTTTAGCGAGGGATCTATTATATGTTGCAACAGATGTTGCTAAATATTTATTTTCGAAACAGATTTCATATCCCTCACTAATGTCCGTTGCTATAAATGAAGTTTTAAAAGTAAAGGGACGAATTTGCTATCCGTCGCAAATTCTATCGCTACTTCTTTATTTTATCTAG